GTGTAACTAAATCTTTACCTTTTAATCTGTCCAACGAAAATCTAGTTTTCCTGCACTCAAAGGAACTACATTTTTGCAACAGGGTCTTTTTAATGATAAGAATTGAGTTTTTCTGTTTTACAATGCAAATGCTTAATTTCATTTTCCTCCCGCTCACATAGGCAAGAGGGCTAGACCAGCCCTGATGTTGAAGTTAAAAACTCATTCTAAATAAACAAATGAAGATTATATAATAACTTATTATATAAGTTATTTGAAGCTGTCCCTTGGCCAGCTTCAAATAACTGCTGGCCAAGGGACACCTGGTCTGTGAAGGGCTCTACCTAAACAAAGGAATGAAGATGCCTATCTCCTAGAACTGGAAGGGACCTTGAAAGGTCATCAAGTCCAGTCCCCTGCCTTCACAGCAAGACCAAGTACCATCCCTGACAGATTTTTACCCCAGATCCCTAAATGGCCCCCCTCAAGGATTGAACTCCCAACCTTGGGTTTAGCAGGCCAATGCTCAAACCACCAAGCTATTTCCCCCGCAGCGACACACTGTCTCTCTCTTTTTCTGTTATAAATACAGGTCGGACCTTCCTGGTCCTGCACAGTCGGGACCTGACTGTTCCCAAACGACAACATTTGCCAGACCAGGGAGGTGTCCCCTGCCTCTGGCCCCCTCTACTCTCTCCCCTACTCTGATGTCACCAGTCCCAGCCCTAGGCTGCCTTTGGTGGCCGGAGTTCTCCGGTCCTGGTCTGCACCACTGCACGAGGCAGATTTCCCCGGCCTCCAACCCCCATTGCCACTGGATGTCGGAGTTCTCTGGCATCACATTGCCACAGGTAGCCAAGCTGCTCTGGCCCCCGAATTCGCAATGCTGTGGGCACGCGGGCTTCTGCCGGTGGCTGCCTGGAATTCCCCAATCCCCAGCTCCATGCTGCTACAGGCTGCCATGAGTCTCTGGTCCCTGTCCCATCACTGATGAAGGGCTCCCCTGGACCCGCTAGCCCCAGCCAGGCTGCTGACCCTCCTGCCATTAAACTCTGGGGCGCTCTGGTCCAAGAGCAGCGACCAGACTAATAAAGCTCCCCCTCTGAGACATTTCAAATAAACCCTGCTTGTGTATCACCCTGTATTGCTCATTCAGGCAAGACGCTAGGGCCAGTTGGTTTCCCCCTGCGTAGGAGCTGCAGAGAAGCACCTAAATAACTGAGAAATGAACAACTCGGAGCATGCTCCACTTTTTTTTTAATCTTAGCAAATAAAAGGAAAGAATCAGGTATCAATTCAAGTTCTTGGACTTGTTAAAAAAACCCTACAAATCAGTTCAATATTTAAATTAAAAAAAATAGTAATGACAAATAGATTCCTTATTAAACCTATACTGCTTGTGTACACAAATGGTATTGTGCTGCATGGGGGAAAAAAAAAGACTCAGCTAATCCCTGCAATTTTATAAGCCTTTAATCCATTGATCTCACTGAAAAGGATTAGAATTATTCTTTTACTAGCAAATTAAAGGCGTTCTGAGCCAGATGGAAAGGAAAGCAAAGCACAACTCACATCCTGCAGAGACTGCTACCACACAGCAAGTAAAAGCTGAGGAACCCGCACCATGGGGGAAAAAAAAAGACTCAGCTAATCCCTGCAATTTTATAAGCCTTTAATCCATTGATCTCACTGAAAAGGATTAGAATTATTCTTTTACTAGCAAATTAAAGGCGTTCTGAGCCAGATGGAAAGGAAAGCAAAGCACAACTCACATCCTGCAGAGACTGCTACCACACAGCAAGTAAAAGCTGAGGAACCCGCACCTGGCTCCCCTGTAAGCAGAGTCAGGAAAGAGAACTACCCTGGACTATCATGTCTGGACTACAAAAATAAATTCAATCCAACTGCTGCTATTTTAGTCAGCCTGGCTACTACTGAGTAGGGAAGTAAAATCCCATTTAACCAGTTAACCGGTTACATGAACTGCTTACCCGGGATCCCGCACCATGCAGCCCAACTGGGGTGTAGGCGGGGGCTTTTGAAAGTCAGCAATAGTTGATATAGACTGTTGAAACAGACTGACACTGCGTTAGCCTAACAACATCAACCCAAGCGATGCTACTCTCACAGAGGTGGAGTTAAATTGGCGTAGTGGCTGAGTTACATCGGCAGGAGCTACATTTTACTGTAGACACTTACAGAACCAGGGTCAACAAAAGCTGCCCTGCATCAATCTAACTATGTGGTGGAACCTGGGTGATGAATGACATCATGACAATTCCTGGAAGAAAATGCGTCAGAGTCTTTCTCTATACATTATGTTACGGTCTCCATTGTTGGAGGAGGGGGGAAGTAACAATTGATGCACTGTCCCATAAAAACATAAATTTACTTTGCTCTACTCACTGGATAATGAAAAGTTCAAAATGTAATTTCAGCAGAACCAACCTCTTCTGTCATCAAGCCCGATCATTCTCTTCAGCATCCTGGTGGTCTCACCCCATGTTCTAGCCCAAATGTAACGGCGGAGGTCTGAAGGCAGGACGTGCACTACTAAAATTTAATTGCTTGTCAAAATATACTATATCTATAGAAATACAGGTCGGACCTCACTGGTCCGGCACTCTCGGGACCTGAGTGGTCCTGGATGAGGGAATTTGCCAGACCAGGGAAGGTCCCCTGCCACCAGCTCCCTCAGCCTGCCGGCCCTCCCCACCGCCAGCTCCTCCAGCCCTGCTGCCCCAGACCTGCTGCTTCAGCCCCACTGCCAGCATGGCAGCATGCAGCCGTGGCCCTGCTGCTGCAGCACCAGTCCTGAGACATCTTCCTATGCCATTTACAACTAGTCTTCTTCAGATGCTAAAAACTACCGGAGCTGCCTCAGCTCCCATGTGCAATTCCCACTGAACACTTCAGAGGCTCCATCATGTGTGGAGACCCTCCGGCCTGCAGACTGCATCTGGCCCCCGCGATAATTTCATCCAGCCTGTGTCTAGTCCCTGCTCTGTGGGGGTGGCACCTGCAGGCCACAGCAGCATGTGGCACCACGCCCACCTCTAAGGACACAGGGACATACAGAGTCTGCTTTAGCCCTGCTGCACCACTCAGGGGGGAGTCTGAGGTAAGCACTCTGTACTCCCTCCTGCACCCCAACGCCCTGCCCCAGCCCTGAGCCCCCTCCTGCACTCCAAACTAGGGATGTGGGTGGGGGGGCTGCTGCACAGTGGGTGCATCATGGGGGTAAGGGTGATGCTTACTGGGTAACCAGTTACCTGTTTACATACCTACCCCAAGGCCCTCATCCCCTGCCCTGCAGAGCCCAAGCCCCTCCTAGCCCTCTGCCCCACACCCAAACTTCCTCCCAGAGGCCACACTCTGAACCCAGGTCAGAACCCCCACCTGCACCCTAATTCCCTCCCAGACCCCACACCCCAACCTCCTGCCCCAACCCTGAGACTGCTCTAGTAACCTACTCAGGGATGTGAATGGGTAACTGGTTAACTGCTTACTGGTGGCCTTGCGTGGAGTGGGGAGCAGCAGCTGGCTCCCCCAGGTGTGCTAGGAATATAAAATCAAGGTTAAACTGGTTAATCATTAGGTTGACAGATCATTTAACCAGTTCACCAACTAAGCTGGATCCGGGCTATGAACACGGGCGTTGGGACTGCCACCAGCTCCCTGTCCCTAAGGTTTAACCAGTTAATTCATTAATTGGGATTTTACATCCTTAACCCTAACTCCCATCCCGGTCCCACCCCAACCCCCTGCCCTAAGCTCACTACTGCACTCCAAACTCCTTGGCCGCAGCCTGAAGCCCCCTCCTACACACCATTGTCCCCAGCCCCACCCCACAGTCAACACCCCTAGTCAAAGCCCTCCTGCCCTCTGCTCCACTGTGGAGGCCCCCCCCCCTTTTGGCTCCACACTGGAGCCTAGGGGAAATCCAGAGGCTCTGCCACCCCACGCCCACGGAGCTCTGCAGGGCCCACAATAGAAAAAAGGCTCCCCACCCCTGTTCTAAATCATACCTAAACCTGGTCTGCTTTGGAAAACTGACAAAACTATAGCAGAATATTTGTTTAGAAGCATGCCAATCAATTTCCTGATGCAGACAAGCCTTAAAGGATGGCTGTGAAGGACTGTAAATTAAAAGAAATGGAAAGGGAAGCTACATACGTGTTCTTTAGTGAACGCTAGGTGTGAGGAGTTGTTTCATGCACACAGTTAGCAGAAAAGCCAATCCTTCCCTTTTTGCTTTTCAGCAATGTGACAGTATCACACGCCACATGCTATGTTCTTTGTGTAAGCATTTGAAAGAAGCCAAATCTACAAACAATAAGCTAAAAACGCTACTCGTTGACGTAAGCCTATGCACAATTTGTAACAACGCCCCCACTTCTCTCACACTTGATCAGCATCATCATGGCTTGATAAATATTAGCACTGCAACATTTCACCAGATGGACTTTAAATTGCTTTTCATTTGCACTGCCTGTGCAACAGTGGCTGCGGAGCATACAAATATCCCGTGTATGAAGCAAATATAAATTACAACCGTATCCACTTTTAATCACAATACTGCACATAAGTCTGCTGTTACAACAGTCCTTTCTTGTACTTAATTCATTATTGTTAAGAATTCTGCCACAAGTCACCACATTTTAAATACTTCCACTCCCAATATTTCAAATTTTCATGTTAGCGTAAAAGTAAGTTTCCTTCATAAATCAAACTAGCTCTTATAGCTTTGAAATGCTCTGTTCAAATCGCCTCTTTTCATGACTTTTCCCTAACGGCAAGAACTTTGCATTTAAGTGATGTACCAGGAGTCTGTTCACCTTGAAAGTGCTGATTTACAGACATTCAGGTACATGAACCCTTATGTGGGAGAACACAAAGAGTGTGCATCTCCAATACCCAGTCTTCCCTGCTATTCCCTTAGACCTCTGATGCTGGATATTTAAACCACTATTAAGCAAACCCTTCCTATATTTAAGTACTAGTATCAAAACACAACTTACAGAAAATTGGACATCTGAATGGAGATAGACATCTGTAAAGAAATTAAAAGCAAAACCCACACACACACAATACAGCAGCAGTTGTCAAACAAAGAGCGCCACTAACCCCGGTTCACTGGCACTGCTGGGGTGGGGGGCTGGGGTGTTTTAAATAAATACAGCTCAGAGTAGCCTGACTAAGCATTGAGGTTATAACTGACACACACATCTGCTATGCCAGTCACAGCCAACAAACAAAATGAGAGATAAGTTTTTTAAAACAGCTCCACTGTTTTTTAATCATCAACTAAGAGGCCCTCAGAAAAAATGAGAATGATCAGAGGACAAGAATGGATTAGTCTCATCAGATAAGAATTATTGTTCCAATGACTGATTCTCTATGACAATAGTGTTCTTAAAAATAATGGCCTTTTCCTCTTGAGTATACAGAGAAATGCAATAACAAGCTGCCTTGAAAAGGCATTTCTTCTTTGAGTCGTTTTATATATAAATACTGACTAATATATAACAAAGTTTAAAGTAATCCTTTCTGGTGATTATACTCCTAGGCTCTGTTTACATTGCTCTCTCTTGCGCAATAACATATGCAAATGAGGCATGGCGATGAATATTGCCGCACCTCATTTGCATACCTAATGAGCCGCCATTTTTGCGGAACGGGCTTTTGCGCAAGGAGGAGCTGTCTACACTGCTTCTTCTTGCGCAAAAAACCCCTCTTGCGCAAGAGCCATTCTGCCGCTTATTTTATATTCATCGCCGTGTCTCATTTGCAGATCTTCTTGCGCAAGAATGCGCAGTGTAGACATAGCTCTATAGTATATTAATTTGCATGACCAGTGTTCTTGCTTCCAATAGATCTTTGTAGATCTCAGACGTAAAGATGGTTTTTAAAGAGCCTTTCAATTTTAAAAATTAAAAAGTGGTCTGGTTACATGTTCTCCTACCTCTCTGATCACTTCAGAATCTTTCAGTAGGGTGGGAAGTCCTCAACACACACACTCCCATCTCTATGTGTGTGACAGTCCCATTCTTGATTCCTCCTCTTCTCTCTTTAACCCCTATAGTTGGGCGACTGAAATCACAATCGCTGGTTTAAACACTGACTTAATAAACAGCTGACTCACACATCTATCCGGGTTGTTCTCAAGTGGTCTCTCAATTTGCGCTGCATTTCAGCCTGCCTACCCAACTTCTCCTTCGAGAAGTCACCACCAATTTACACTTAAACATGACCACACTAAGCTCATGATCCTCCCCCCAAAAACCTCCTTCACTATCGCTGCTTTCTGTCACTGCCAACACACCACCCCTCTCTGTAGCTCAGTCCCATTACAGGTCATCTATCTTGAATTTCTCTCATCCCATACATCCAGGCTGTAACTGTTCAGAACAGCTGGCGGTTCTCTCTGGGAGGGGGCGGGGCAAAGACGTCACGCACTCCCCCACCCCGAGGCCAATCAGGGTCTGTGGGTGGGGGAGAATGGAAGTGTCCCGGCCCTGCCCCTTCTGCCCAAGGCTCCAGCCCTTCCGGGCAGCTCAGGGCCACTTCAAAAATTTGTGAAGTGACCCCCCCTTCTAAAATTATTGTCCACCCCTGTTCTATACTGCCCCTTATGCACTGAGCACCCACTCTACGTTGCAGTGTAAGGCTGATAACCTCCCATCAAGTAGGGATGTAAATGTTTAACTGGTGTTGGAAGAGCCATCCCTCCCCTCCCTTTAATCAGTTAACCAAATATTTAACCGATTAACCAATTAAATGGAACTTTGCATCCCTACAGTCAAGTCACACGTCACAATGCCTACAAGAAAATCAATCGGTAGCAGCTTGAGGATAAGCAGCACAGCACAGCTGGCGCTTTTTACATAATCATAATGAAAAAAAAATTCTGTGCGCACTCAAAAATTATATATTTAATGGTGTTTCCTTCCCTTTACATACCACTTCCTAGTCCACTCTTCAGGGCAGGGACCATGTTTGCGCAAAGGTCTGCTAATCCTGATCAAGATCTCCAGACACAACCATATTATAAATAGCATATAATGATGGCTAAGAACTAACAGGCCCTTGTAATTTGTGGGGCCCACCAGATTTTCTAGGACAGACTATCTTTGCTGCTTGGAAAAAAAAAAAAAACACCACCACACAACAACCAACCACCTTCTTCTCTCCTTTAGGTATAACTAAGTTAGTCCAACTAAATGATCATCACCAGTGAAAGAGGCTACCGCATTCAATTGCTGGTTCATAGTTCAACGGTTCCCTCTAGCTGAATGGCCAATAAGTTCCACTAGCTCAGTGTTTAACCGCCTTTCTAGCTTTTGCAGCAAATACGCACTTTTCAGAATGGGTCACCTCCAGGAGAGCAGTTATGATGGGCAAGGTAGAAGCAACCAAGAGGTTCCCATTTGTGCAAATGATCATAAGCCAGCTCCTGAGCCAGAATAATATCATCACCTCTGAGCTCCGAACCCGCCCCTGGTTTACAGTTCATTTCCAATCCAAAGCCTGGAGCCCGATTTACAAGGCTATTCCTGGATAATGCAGCTAACAAGGCCTAGAAGAAAGGTTGCAAAACCTGTAGATAAAATATCTTGGGTCAACAATCCTCAACTTCTATATCAGTTTTTGCAGAATCAGCACTAAACCAATGCCTAAGCAAGCTTCAGAATATATTACAAGATCCAGCTATGAACCAGAGGTGTTCTGCCCTAACAGATATTAGAGGGCGTATCCCTTCACCCTCCCACTGCCTTAACATGAACAGCAATTCCCAAAGTCTGGAGATCCAGGAAACGTGAAGTTTATTCGGGTTAGCATCCAGTTTCCTCTTCTCCCTTGCTCCCAACTTAACTCCTGTTTACCTCCAATATATATAGTAGTAATCGCAGCTATACCTTAATCAAACATTGTAATGAAATTTAACTAACCAACCTTAACACATTGCAACATGCTTATCTAACCAATTATACCCCACCACTTTAATTGGTTTACATCCACCAAAATAAATTATACAAAAGACAGAAACAAAAAACCAGACAGAGACCATACAGATAAACAATAGAGAATTGGGGAGCATAATGACAAAGCAATACAGAAATGAGGATTTCACAACCCCAACTATTGGTAAGTTGGTCCTTACCAGACAGAAAGCCATTGTTCTAAGTTTTCTTTAAATTTTCTAGGCTCATCCCTTTATCGGATAGTCTAACAGCCCAAACTTGCCTTATTTCAATGTGACTGGTTTGGGATGTGGATGATATGACCATAATTTCCTATCTTATACTACTTAGCCAAAGGCCTTAGCTTAAGAACAAGGCCTCAGATTATATACATATAGACTGTGACTCTGATTCTTGTTTTTATAATTCTTTAACTAGCTAAGTGATAAAAAAAATACCCAATTTCTTTACATATTAGCCTTTACAGGCAGGCCTGAATGTCTATATCCTAACAGAAAGCTAGCAAACACTAATATTTGTGGTATGAGTGCGTGTGTGAGCAGGTTGTTGTTAAGGAACTAAAGCAAATCATAAATTTTTAGGACTTCTGTATGTACACATCATAAAGAATTAAAAGAGGTCACAGTATTTTTCTGCTATACAGGTCACCTTTAAACAGCTGTTGCATTCCCCTGGGAACTGAAAGCTCCCGGTATAAATACAGACCTTGAGATCAAAGGCTTTGCATAGTGATTATCATCTCCAGGCAGAAACTTCCTCTGCCTTTACATCATCCCCAGGGCGTGGTTTACTAGCTGCACATGGGAAAGTAAATGTTTAGATGAAAAGCTGAAGTGGTCATGGAGGCTGACCAGTAAGACACTCTTGTGTTCTGTTTAGAATCACTGATTCTGCTGATACGTTGCGTAGGGTAAAACAGCTTTGTTGAGCTCTACCACTGCAAGATCAGGAGAGTTATGCAGTGGACGGCAGGGGGTTGGCAGCAAGAGTAGTCTATGACACTTGTGCAGCTCATTGGTAGATAACTGAAGAGAAGCATGAAGATGGGAAAGGCCCCTGTGTTTTAAAGCTGCTGCCCACTGGCATAAAAGCTCCTTCACTTTAAATTACGCCCGTCTTTCGTCTAGTCTCATCTACCCTTCTCAGGAAAGGTTATCCCAGAAACATTGGCTGGGAAGCTCAAGTACTGCTTGGATCCAGACCCCAAGACGTAACTCAGTCTAGAATCATGACAAGGAAGCAGCTGGGATCAATGAAGCAGACAATCGTCTGATGATGGCTGTCACAGATGCACCCTTGCTGATGTCAGTAACCATTCAAACACAACTGATGCAGCCTGGGGTTTTGTTGCTTTCAGTCTGTGGAATTCCCCTGCCTGGTGGAGATTTTTAGAATTTCCATGGCTTCAGCAAGTATGATGCACATTGAGAGATGCACCAGTGGGACTGCCTTCCTATGCTGGTCAGTACATTTTGGATTTTTTTCCACTCCTCCCACCGATGCCAGCTTTGGTCTGAAACTTTCAGGGATGTTTCTTTAAAAAAAAAAAAAAAAATTCTTGACCAGTGGCAAGGGCCACAAAAGATGAGGGATTTCAGGAAATGCTTTCAAACCTAACGTGCTGCATCTTAGATGCATTTCTGCATGTGTTGTGGCAAGGGCCACAAAAGATGAGGGATTTCAGGGAATGCTTTCAAACCTAAGGTGCTGCATCTTAGATGCATTTCTGCGTGTGTGGAAGTAACTGAGACTTCTCTGCCTAGTGACAAACGAGGACCCCTCGCTCCTACCTTAACCTCCCCTCAGAAAAACTGGGACCTCTCCCAACTATCTATGACCAAGGAGTGGACACAGGCCTCTCTCCCTGTGCCCAACCCCCTGAACAGGAAGACGGGGAAGACTGGTAATAGGAAAACTGTCCTCCTATATGTTGCAAGAAAAGCAAACATGGTTCTGGGAGGCATTAACAGGAGTGTTGTGAGTAAGACACGAGAAGTCATTCTTCCGCTCTACTCTGCGCTGAATAGGCCCCAGTTGGAGTATTGCGTCCAGTTCTGGGTGCCACATTTCAAGACAGATGTGGACAAAATGGAAAGGGTCCAGATAGTCGTCTACACATTGACATCCCTACATGATTAACCAATAAGTCTGGGCTTATTAGTTAATCCTGTTGACTACATGCACTGCCCCTCCTCCCCCCACTGCCTTAGTATCAGAGTCAGTGGGAGTTTGGGGGGGGCAGGAGCCGGTGCCTGTAAGGAGCCGGCTTTTAAGCCGGCTCCCTACGAGCACTACACCCCATGGAGCCGCCTGCCCCCAGCCTATCCCCTGCACTGTTGCCTCTAATAGAGAAGTGGCAGGGGGACGGGGGGGGAAGTACGGGGGAGGACGCAGGCGGGAGCCAGCCAACCCACAAGCTGTGTATTGTGCTCTGACTGCCCAAGCAGACCTTCCTGGCACACTCTAGGTCCCCAGGGAACACCAACGTGCAACCTGCATCCTGTGGCTCAGGCAGATTAATGAACGGCAACCACGGCCCACTCAAAATCTCCATAGCTCGTTTCTTATCAGACCCTCACCATGCAGTCTGT